TTATCAATAATAAATAAAAATAAAATTTATAAAAAATAAAATAAATATATTTTATAAAATATTTAAGTAAAAAAAAAAAAAAGAAAAAAATTATTAAAGTAAAAAATAAAAACAATATATAAAAATGATATATAAATTTAAAGTGAAAAACTTAATGAAAAAAATTTAATAATTAAAAATAGGAAAAATTAAGCAATATGTAGGATTATAAAAAAAATATAAATATTTATATATAATAATAAAAATAATAATAATAATAATAATAATAATAATAATAATATTAATTTTAAAAATCATATTAATAAAAATAATAATTAAAATGATAATTTTTATATTTTTTATAATGATATAATTTTTTATAATATTGTAATAAAACATTTTATTTTATATTATTTTTAATTATATTTAATTTAAATAATTTTTATAATAATCGAAAAATAATAATTAATTTTAATTTATTTATTTATTTTAAATAATTTAAAATATATACAAACAATAAAATATTACTTATTATATCAATTTATTAAATGATTTTTTCAAAAAATTTATTATCAGATTAAATTTAAATTTATTTTATATATTTTTTTTTTAATAATAAAAATTAGAAATATATAAAATATTTATTTATTTAATTTTACTTAATAATAAATTATTATTAAAAATAAACTTTTAATTTCTAAATTTATAATTTTCACAATAATAGTCCAAATAAAGCATAATTAATTACAAGAACCAATACTTCTTAAAAATAACTTATTTTATTACATCATTTATACCTATTTTATTAACTCCATCATTTTTTTTTTTGCATGATCTTGAAATATCATCTAATTAAAATCCAGGTAAACATTCGATGCAAGCATTTAGCTCACAATTCATACAATTACCAAATATATTAAGACATAGAATACATTATTAAATCTATTAATTGTAATAATAAAATGATTTACATTTAGTGCATACTCCAATTTAATTACACTATTCACATTATTAAGTACATTATGTGTTATTTTATCCATCACCTTTAGCTATTAAAGTACATGATTCTGCATTACTTTCTAATTAAAATTCAGGTAGACATTTGGTGCAAACATTTTCATTACAATTTAAACAATTAGCAAATTTTTTTAGACAAGAAAGACATTATTATTTTTATTAATGTAAAATATATCCTTAATTACATTAAGTGCATATTCCATATAAATTACATTATTAACATTATTAACGACATTATATTTAATTTTATTCATCAGGTAATAATTTACATAATCTTGTATTAACATCTAATTACTATCCAGTTATACATTCGGTGCAAAAATCTTCATTACAATATAAACAATTATTAAATTTCATAAAACAAAGTAAACATTATTAATTTTATTAATGTAAATAATAACCTTTTTAACATTAAGTGCATACTCCAACTTAATTACATTATTTACAATCTTAAGGACATTATATTTCATTTTATTCATCATCTTTAGGTACTAAATTACATGATGTTCTAAACATATTTAATTTATATCCAGGATGACATTCAATGCAAGTATGAAAATGAAATAGTTTATTTTTACAAATTTCACATTCTTACTTTTATTATTATTCGAAATAAAAAGTTTTTAAGCATTAAGAGCATATTCCAGCTAATTTACATGATTTACAGTTTTCGAAACATTTTTTTTCGTCAATTTAAGGTATTTAAGTACATAATCCTGAAGCACTATCTAATTCAAAACCAGGAAGACATTCGATGCAAGCATCTTTTGTGCAAGCATAACAATTATTTTATTTATTATTACAAGGCTCACATTTTTAACTTTATTAATCGAAATATAAAATCTTTTTGCATTATGAACATGTTCCCCCCTGGACTACAAAATTAACATTGCTAAGGACATAATTATTTAATATTTTTTTCAACTTATTAAAAAGATTAAATACATGAATATGAATAAGGAAATATTTTGAATATTTTAATTTTATTATATAAACTATATATTTTTTTTTGAATATTTTTATATATAATATTTATGTTATTAATTTAATTTCTATAAATAATTCTTCTTTATATTTTTATAATATTTTTTTTTTTCAATAATAAATTATTTTAATTATTTTAATTGCATTTATACATATATATTAATATATTATTAATCTTAAATAATAATATAAAACAGTTTTTTATTAATATATAGTAATTAATTATATATGATTTTAAATTAAATAATATAAAAATATTTATTATATATATATTTTTTTATAATTCATTTTCTATCTTTAATAAATTGGTTTTTTTATTATTTTCAATATATATAAATTTTTATTTAAAAACATTTATGTTTATTATGTATAAATTATGTAATGTCTTTAATAGAAATATATATATTTATAAATATATTTTAAAAATATTAATTATTTTTTATTTTTGTAATAATATATTATATTAAATTATTCTAAATGATTCTTATAAAACGAACTATTTAAATATTTTAAAATTTAAAAAGATTTAAAAGTTAATTTGATATATATTGATATATTTTTGTTATTAAGCATTATATTTTTTATATTAAAAATTTTGTTATTAAGCATTATATTTTTTGTAATAATCATTTCATAATAGAAAATAAAATATATTAATTAAATATAATATATAATATACATTATATATAATAAAAAACTATAAATAACAATAGATTATTTTGAAATTTAATGATGATATTTTAACTTATTTATTTAATATTTAAAAAAGAAATTATTTTTTATTTTAACATATTTTTATTTAATTTATTATTTTTCATTTTTTTATTATGAAAATTTAAAAAGAAAATGGTAAATAAAAGTTAAATAAATAAAAATATATATAAATAAAAAAACGCAGTTAATGTTAAATGTTGTATTTTTTTAAAAAATGGATAAATTTTATTAGTTTTTATAAAAAAATAAAAATATAATTAAAAAAAATTTATATTAATTATAAATATATATATATATATTTATATATATATATATATTTTTGAATTTTTTTATTAATTTAATACAATATTTTTAACAATAAAATATCATATTATTGTAAATATTTTAATTTAAAATATACAATTTTAAATAAAATATGAAATTTATTTAAAACTATTTAAATTATAAAATAAATTTAATAAACATAAAGTAAAATTAAAAAGAAAATTTAATAAGAATATTTAATAAAATAACAATTTAAATATAAAATTAATTACATTTTTCTTAAAAAAATCAAAATCTGCTAATTTACAAAATATGATAATATGTTTTTGTTTTAGGATTAAATTATTTTATAATTTTTTTTAAAAAAATTCTTCTTTAAAACATAATATCAATTACCTATATAAAAATCTAAACAAAAAATATTTACAATATAAATAATATAAAATACAAAACATTTAAATATTTATAATTATTTTTAGATATAATATTAATTATTTAAATTGATTATTATTATTTTTAATTTAATAATTAAGAATAAATAAAAAATATATAAATAAAATTATAAAATATCACTTTTGATAAATATAAAATTGTAAGATAATTTAAAAATTAGAATAAGAATATATATATATATATATATATAATATAATAAATATAAAAATATATCTATCTATATATATATATATATATATATATAATTTTAATATTTTATAATATTATAATATTATATATAATATTTTATAAAATATAAAAAACTATATGTTATATTTAGAATTCTTATTTTATAATTTTTATTAATAAAATGATTATAATATATTGTATACAATCTTAAGAATATTTTAATTATATTTTATATTTTTATAATAAAAATATGAATAGATCATACAATTTTATATGAAATTTAAAAAAATATTTATATAATTATGAATTAAGTAATAGAATTGTTGTATTAAAAATAAAATTAAAAATAAATACTTGTAGTAAAATTTATAGAATTTGTATTTTAATAAAATTATAAACCATTTTAGAAATATTAAGGTTTAAATAAATTAAATAGATTTTTTAAATATAAAATAAAAGATAATAATGTTATTAATAATTAAAACAATAATTTATAAAAAAATACTTTAATTTAATAAAAATAATTATAATAAAAGAATTTTAATTTATAAATTTTTAAGTTAGAATGTTTTTAAAGAAATAAAAAATATAAAAGAATCTCCAAAATAAAAAATTTCAAATTAATTAAAAAAAGTAAATATATATAAATATGTAATTTTATTTCAATAATTAAATAAAATTTTTTTAGGCCATTCATAAAGCAAAATTCAAATTAATTTAAATATGTATATTTTCAAGAGTATTTATGAAAAAAAATTTGGATTCTTCTAAAAAAAAATTAATAATATTTTTTTTATTATTATTTTATTCCTAAATATATTTAATAAAAAAATAATAGCATATAATTCTTCTAATATTAATGCTTTGATTCGCTATATATTAAAAGAAAAGGATTGAAATTCTCAATTAAATTCTCAATTTATTAATTTAATGCTTTATCTTATTTTAAAATATGTTATATTTTT